ATACTTTAGGCACTGTGACTGGAAGTGTGCTGACAACATAGTCCCATTTTCCAATCCATCTCACAATCTCACTGCACTCTAACTCTACTCCCACCTCTCTCCGCTTTTTCACGACTCCAAAAAAAAAAGAAAAAAAAAACATTTTAAGTACTTTATAGAGAATCGGTTGGGTGTTTCTTTAGCATCGCTTTATTTTCTGTTTTTCAATAGTTTTATTTTTGTTTTAACTGCGTAATCAGTTGAATTTACTTTTCCATATTTTCATTTCTTTAAATTTGGTCTAACTGGACTACCTTTTTCCTCCAGGCATCCCATTTTATTTCAGTTATGATTTTTATTGACCCTACATTCTCTTTTAGAAGCTTCTATGTTTTGATTGGAAATTTATATTCTGCGACCTTGAAACGATTATTGCACGTATAGTTAGGTTACATCTAGTTGTTTGTTTAGGATGGAGGTAATGACTAGGATTGATGCTGCGGCGAGCTTTTAAACTAGGAATATAGTAGGGCTGTGTACCTCTTTAAAATTTTAAATATTTTTTAGATCCGTGGATCTAGTTCGAAAAGAGGGTTACAATCTCTTCAAATGAAAATTGCTTTCAATTTCTTAATCTCTGTCGGATTTACTGGCAGTCACATCTGAAAACTATTCATTTAATTTCGTTTTTACATTTTTTACTCTACTTATTCTAAGAATCAAATATGTAATACTTGATTCTGATCTCTGGGTTGTGAATGAAATAATAAAGTGTATTTGCATAAATCGTTATTTTATTCACGGACCTGATGATTACGTTTGCATTTATTTTTCATTTATTTATTTAGTTGCTAACCTTAGTTGATAATCAAATCAACACTATTTTTTTTTTAAAGTACTAGCAAAAACTGCCTGTAAGAAAAGTACCCAATAAAACAGTGCATGTTATATTATGCATCTCTTAAGTCGGAAGAACACGACTTTGCTGTGTTCCTGTATGACATTTGTCATTCAGCCCCTGGAAAATATGCGCATTTTTTATGTTGCTAAAAAAGACAAAAGTATCTTGGCTTCTTAACAAGGCGTTCTGCTTTGTGGGGATTAAAATACCTTGTTGCTTGTAATGTTAAAATCAAATGTAAAGCTCCTTTGAATGCACTACTTTGTAAAAGTTTATTGTTAGATAAGGATAAGGAGATAAAATAAGTCCTTGTGGTGGAATTTGTCTAGACTACCTAAAAGTGCGTTTTAAACAAAGGATGAGCTATTTATATATTATTATCGCATTAATCTTGTTTCATTTATTATATTTATGACTACTGTCTAATATTTTTGGCAAATTTTAGAATTTTTTCTTCTTTACTTGTTTTAATACAAACACATTAATTTTATTTTTTTAATTTTTTTAATTTTTTTTTGTCAAGTAATTTACCTGGAAATTTGTTTTCCATTTTTTTTAATTGATGTGTGTTTTTATTTAATTTATTCTTTACATTGCTAATATTTAAGAAATCCAAATTAATACTACTTTCAGAATTTCCAGTTGTTAGAATTTGTCAATAGTTATAATTCTATTTTTACAATTCTATTATTCAAATTTTAAAAACCATAATTGGATTTCTTGCAGAAAAAAACTGTATAAAATATATATAGGCTAATTGCTTAAAAGGTCGCCAAGACCATGAAGGGTAACATACATTGCTCGTCTCATGTAGGAACGATAATCTAGAGAGAAAAAAAAAAGATTTACGCAGTGTCAGTGGTCGATTTATGGCCCTGTGTCAGTTTTCGCTTTGGCCTTACAAGGAAATGACAAATGTTTACTTTGTTCAAGTTAGCTAAGGGACAGCACTCTATAATGTTTGAGTGATTTGTTTCTCTTAAGGTTTTGTGTGCAGGTTATGACGTGTACATACAAAAATTAATTGCCTTTCGTTTCAAGTTTCTATAAAAAATTAAAATCAGCGTGCTTATAAAAGTTGTGTTGTATGATCTTGTAAATCTACTTATGGACTAATAAAAATACATTTTTAAAACACTTTAAAAAGTAATAGAAAACAATTAAATTTGTCTCCATTTGATCATGTTCTAGGGTCACCTGACCGTGTCCTCGCACGCCACAGGAAGTAGAGTTGCCGCCTCTCGCGCTCATTGTTATGATGACGTTTTAATCGCTTCGTGATGACGTATGCATTAAGGTCGACCTCACCTTTAAGACATAGTGACTATATTTATGATGCCTTGGTGTGGAATGACAATGAAAATTTTTATAACGAAAAGAGCAGATTTAATCTACAAGAATATTCTTTTAATAAATGCTAAGTAAGCAATATTGTAATGCTATTTAATTGTGTGCGTATTTATATATACAGTGTTGGGGGGGGGTGTATTAGGTAGTTATAAATAGATGACAATTTTAGCAAAGTAACATTTTTAGAAAATTATTTTTTTTTATTAAGAACTGTATATTGTGCCTCTAAAGATTGTTGTCGCGCTGTGAATGTTGGGGGGAATTATAACTTACCCCCCCCCACCCCCACCCCCCCCCCACACACACACACACCAACACCCCATAAATGGGGGAGTTATAATACCCTAACACCCCTCCTAGGGAAGTTTTGTCCCCCAAACACCACTTACTTAGGGTAGTAAAAATCCCCTGACGCCCCTAACCAAGTAGAGTTATAAACCCCCGAACGCCCCTTACCTAGGGGAGTAATACCCCACCCCCAACACCCCTTAACTAGGGGAATTATTACCCCCTGAAGCCTCTTTGTGTTATATATCTTCAGGAGTCCAGTTCATATGTTCAGTCGCGTAATTACTAACAAAAAAAGTGTAAATTAATCATGACTTCTTTTTTGTTTTTAATTTTTTCGTTTCTTTTTTTTTTCGTTTCGTTTCGTTTCTTTTTTTTTTGTTTTTTTCTTTTGTTTTTTTTTTTTTTTTTTTTTTTTTTGTTTTTTGTAAAAAAATTAATAGATTGCTACACTCGTCTGCACAGTAGAAAACATCAACATCTTCACAGCAACAAAGCGTAACAAATTCCCCCCGACTCAGGGGACTTAACTGTGTGACTCATTAGTTCACATTCCAACCCGGAAACTGCCGTGAAAACAATGTCAACTCTGGGTGACAAGACAACAATTTTCTCCGCTGAAACTCAGGCGGCAGGGAATTCGAGTTTTGACATAAATTTCACCGACTTTTTTTTTCTTTCTCTCGCGCTGCTAAATTTAGAAACAACTTTGACATATTCGTGTGGTGTCCGAGACGAAACGAATAAAAATGAATAGGAAATCTGAAAGTTTAAAAAAAAAGTGCGTTTTTTTTTTGTCATACAAGAAATATGTGTTCTTTGTGTTAAGTTAAATCAAGCATATTTCTTGTCCTTGGTGCATGATTGACATGCATGGTTGAATATCTGAAGTGACTGGGTCATATAAATTAGGTGAAGGTTAAGGCGTTAACTAAAATTTTTAAGCTTGATTTATTTTTTCCAATAATTTTGTCTGAGTCTTATGAAGGTCATAAGTCTTTATTTAATTGTGTATTAGGCTTATATAAAAATAGACTAGCGCGCTGATGTTAAATAAATTTCTATAATAATATTTTCTACGTTTATTATTTAGATATAGAATTTGCTAGTAAATATTAATAGTTTTGATAATAAAAACGCAAGTACTTCTAAAAATTGTATCAACACCGTTTGGTCAGCAACGCTGTTGCTATTATAGTTGAAGAAATTTGTTGTGTTTTTTTTTTTCTTAATTTTTTTAGATTTTTAGTTTTAGATTAGCTTGACTTATCGGTTATAAAAAGTGAAATTGAATAGTTCTACTAATAAAATTAATCCAAATTTATTTTTACCTCAAACCTAACGATACGGGTTTAATTAACGATAAATTAAATAACAAGCTGTGTGGTCTTTCTTATTTTTTTAATCTGACATAATCATTGTAACGCAAATTCAAGTGTATAAATAATCAGTGGCGTAGCCAGTGGCGTAGCTAGGTCGAGTGTCACCCGGTGCGGCACTGAATGGTGTCACCCCACAGAGGCGTAGCGACCCTTCCCGGCGCCCGGGGACAAACTTTCAATCTTCGATTTGCACCCCCACCCCCCCCCTTCCATTCTTGTCGGGATTTGTCAAATTTGCTCTTTTTGCTCAAATGTTTGCCTTAGTGTCACCCCCTAAATAGTGTCACCCGGTGCGGTCCGCACCCCCGCACCCCCCTCGCTATGCCACTGGGCGTAGCTAGGGAAGGGCGGGTGGGGCTGCTGCCCCAGGCGCCAAATCTAAGGGGGCGCCAAGAGGGGTAAAAAAATGTAAAAGCTCATTTTAGTCACAAATATTGAAATATACACAAAGTGTGGCACCAAAGCAAAAACTACTGACCGCTAAAAAGCGCTACCAACCTTTTAAACGGGTAGGGGGGGGGTGCTCTTTTTCACTAACGAATAAATATAATATAAATGGGAGGGGGCACACAATTGATACTTCGCCCCAGGCGATTGAATGGGTCGCTACGCCTCTGTAAAGCATCGAGCATTTCTCATATCCATGTAGCCAGAGGCTAGGTCCAATTTATTTCCAATTTGGTTTGATGGAACTCGATATGATATTAGATGAACGTAGACTAAACTTTACTAACTAGAGATTAAATCATATCGGTAGAAAAGATAGGACTATAATGTAACATTACGGCTCAATTTAATCTAAATTATTATCGGGCTGAATAATGCCTATATTTAAACGATGCGCACAGACCGGTGTTTCTTTCAGACTTTTTCGGGGAGGGGGCATTTGAAACTTTCGAGGGGTAGGCCTACATGTAAATTTTCGGGTTGGGGCAGCCGGACAAGTTTAAGTATATATTTTCAATATATTTTTCTGATCTGTTTCGTTGTTGGGGGAAGAATGAGATTTAGGGAGCATTATCCTTTCCGCCTGAAGGATGTGACAATACAACTATAGTCAAACTTCCACATTTTATTTTTATTTTTTATTTTTCCCTCAGTCGCACTCAGCCAGTCCCAAGACATGACATCCATGATGTTTCAAGCTCTGGGCATCGAAATGCCCCCCATGCCCCCAACCATGCCCCAGTCGTTGAGGGAGCACCTGTACCCTGCGGAACGCCAGCGACTCTTGAACCGGCAGAGAGCCCTACAGCAGGCATTTTCCTCCGCCCCAGCCCCGTCCCTCCTGAAGAGCAATCCCTACAGGTTGGTGAAGATTGTTTTATAGTGATCATTGATTGCATTATACTAAGTGAGATGAGTAAAGTACTATTTTGTAGTTTGTTCTTGGTTGGACAAAGGCCATGGAAACAAATCCAAAAAGAAAAGCAGGCTGAAATAGGAGTCAATGGCCTCACTGGCGCATAACCAGTTGACACGTATCCTTAAGTTGGAGGCGTGGTCGAGTTGGGAAAAGCACATGGTTGATAAATTCGAAAAAGTCTCGAGTTCAAACCCTCTGGCACTAAAAATTAAGAATGAAGAAGAAAATAAAATCTCTTCTTTGAGGTTAGAAAGAAAATAATATTGTCTTTGATGGGTAATAGATCTATGCAAAGCTAAATAATTAATCAAAGCAAATTATTGATAAACGAATATTCAAATTGAACACAAAAATTATATCTGTATTTGTATGCTTAAAGTGAAAGATAGTTTGGTATTACAAAAAAATATCTGTATTTGTATGCTTACAAGTGAAAGATAGTTAGGTATTACTCTTTTCTTTTAATGTATTCATTCAATGTGTGACTATTTTGTGACACCATTTCAGCACACCATACAGTGCCATCAACAGGACACCGGACAAGCAAAAGATCCTCTACTCCGGGGCCAACACGATTCGATCCCCGGGCACTCTCAACACACTAGCTGGAAAAGGTAAGGCCGATCCCACTAGCTGGAAAAGGTAAGGCCGATCCCACTAGCTGGAAAAGGTAAGGCCGATCCCACTAGCTGGAAAAGGTAAGGCCGATCCCACTAGCTGGAAAAGGTAAGGCCGATCCGTCAACACTAGCTAGAATAGTTAAGGCCAATCCCTCAACACTTTAGCTGGAAAAGGTAAGGCCGATCCCACTAGCTGGAAAAGGTAAGTCCGATCCCTCACTACATTAGCTGGAAAAAGTAAGGCCGATCCCTCAACACTTTAGCTGGAAAAAGTAAGGCCGATCCCTCAACACTTTAGCTGGAAAAGGTAAGGCTGATCCCTCGGCAACCGTAAAATTTTAGCTAGAAATTTTAGCTAGATTATATGATAAGTGAAACTGACCATCTTTTTTTACTGTGCCTAATTTATTTCAGGCGGAGCATGTCCACCGCTCCCCCTCCTTTCAATGAAAAAATATTATTTAAAACAATGTACACTTTATCTAGTGTCCGCCTATTCCCCCACAAACCCACACCCACATATACATGTATGGGAAAATACTCATACGGTGTTGGGCTTAGGTAATGATCTTGCAAAATTGCTCTAAATATATGGTAAAAGCGCAGAATAAACTGATAGGTGTTTAATGAAGTCAATAAACATCCACTAGCTGGTAGGGATATTTAAATATAGTCAGATTCTAGACGATATACGCAATGTATGCTATACATGTCATCATACATGTCATCATACATGTCATCATACATGTCATCATACATGTCATCATACATGTCATCATACATGTAATCATACATGTCATCATACATGTCATCATACATGTCATCATACATGTCATCATACATGTCATCATACATGTCATCATACATGTCATCATACATGTCATCATACATGTCATCATACATGTCATCATACATGTCATCATACATGTCATCATACATGTCATCATACATGTCATCATACATGTCATCATACATGTCATCATACATGTCATCATACATGTCATCATACATGTCATCATACATGTCATCATACATGTCATCATACATGTCATCATACATGTCATCATACATGATTGTATCCGTCTTATTCTTTAACTAAGTTTATTTTTACTTAATTAAACGATTGTCTTAATATTTTCACTAACTTAATGAGTTTTAATTTTCTTTTAATCAGCTAATCCATACAGCATTTCCCGGGCATCGGTATCTGGGTTGCCAAGCGTGAGAAACAATCCAATGTACCGCCGACAGGTGAGTCAATGAGTTTAATGTGATTTGGTGTTTTTCCGTTATAAGGTACCAGAGGCGTTGCGACGGGGGGGGGGTACATATGTCCCCGGGCGCCGACCCTAGGGGCGATAAAATATGTTGGTAAAAAAATCAAAAGCTCATTTTAGCTGCAGTTTTGAATTGTAAATATATGAAATATAAGGGGGGCTCCAAATTGAAAGTTTGTCCCCGGGCGCCGGGAGGGGTCGCTACGCCTCTGTACGGTATCAGAAGACTAATGCGATAAATCTGTAGGATTTGGTTAATGAACATTCAGGGTAGAAGTCAGGCTGAATTAAAGGAAAGATTAAAGATTAAATGCTATGTGGTAAAATGAACCTTAAAAATAGACAATCGCTAAACTATGTGTATTAGTAGCCTACCTAAAGAATAAAAAAAACACCTTTGTAAGATGATGCATAAGGGTAGGGAATAGTCCCGGCGATTAAAAGATATATAGATCTAACCGCTGTATAAATTAAGATGAAGTTTTGCAGGCCAACTTCTTTAAAAGAAAACATTTCCTACTGAAAATTATTTTCTTTTAAGCGTGCTTACATTTCTTAACTATCGAAAGCAAGTTTATGGGTGCGAACTTTATATATGTTTTCTTATCTTCTTCCCGTTCGTGCCAAAGACACATGCGACAGATGGAGTAGAGTTCATCTGATTCCAGAGTTTGTTCCAGGCATCTCTTCTACCGCCCCCACCCCCAAACGAAATGAAATTTATATAGAAAATATATACTTTTAACAGTGTCCGCCCCCCCCCCCCCCGAAGAAAGTCTACCGCCCCCCCCCCCCCAAAAAAATTTCAAGTGCGCCCCCCCCCCCCCCCCCCGAAGAAAAAAGTCTGGAAGAAACACTGTCTGATTCATTGACCTCGGCATATGAAGGGATAGGGTGGTCAACACTATGCCCAGCCACCTTTGTTTCCACTGATTTGAACCCGGAGTCGAACTCGAGACTCTCGGTTTAGCAGCACTGTTTCTTCCAGACTTTTTTCTCCGGGAGGACACTTCAAATTTTCGGGGTGGGGGGTGGGGGGCGGACGCTGCTAAAAGTATATATTTTCTATATAAATTCCATTTCGTTCGGGGGGGGGGGGGGAGAGCAGTAGTCTTTTTTCGAAGAGATGCCTGGAAGAAACTCTGGTTAGCAGTCTAGCTCTCTACTGCTAGGGCACGCCGTCCCTTATTTTTGTTTTAATTACTTTCTTTTTTATTCTGTATCGAAATTTCTCAATACTTAATTATAGGCCTACTATGTGTTATAGATTTTCTTTATTATCGACATCAACTTTCCTTATTGTTTGTTTACAATTCCGCGCTTTGTTTTCCCCACAAAGGGCGTGCCCAACACAGGCGTGTACCAGACGATGAGGGTGCTACGAGACCAGCCTAAGAAAATCAACGAAGCCAAGGCCGCCGGGTGCAAGCTGCCCATCGACAGCACCGCCGCCAGCGTGTTGATGTTTGGGGACTGCCGGAACCCCGCCGCTAAGATGGTGTGTCAGGTGGAACTGATGACCTGCATGAACGTGGGCATGTCGGCTATGTGCTGCCCTTATGGGAGTAAGTTGACCACAGCTGGGGTAATAGGGTGGGTGGGGGAATGTCAGCCATGTGCTGCCCTTATGGGAGTAAGTTGACCACAGCTGGGGTAATAGGGTGGGTGGGGGAATGTCAGCCATGTGCTGCCCTTATGGGAGTAAGTCGGGGATTGAAGGGTTAACGTGATGGGTGGGTGGGGGAATGTCCGTCATGTGATGCCCTTATGGGAGTGAGTCGGGCAGTGAGGGGCTAATGTGATGGGTGGGTGGGGGAATGTACGTCATGTGCTGCCCTTATGGGGGTAAGTTGATTACAGTTAGAGGGTTAATTTGATGGGTGGGTGGAGGAATGTCCGCCATGTGCTGCCCTTATGGGAGTAAGTTGACTACAGCTGGGGTAATAGGGTGGATGGGGGAATGTCCGCCATGTGCTGCCCTTTTGGGAGTAAGTCGGGGAGTGATGGGTTAATGTGACGGTGTGGGTTGGGGAATGTCGGCCATGTGCTGCCCTTATAGGAGTAAGTTGACCACAGTTAGAGGGTTAATGTGATGGGTGGGTGGGGGAATGAACATGGGCATGTTAATCATGTGATGCCCTTGCGGGAGTAATTCGATAACAGTTAAAGGGTTAATATGACAGGGTGGGTGGGGGAATGAACATGGGCATGTTAATCATGTGATGCCCTTGTGGTAGTAATTCGACCACAGTTAAAGGGTTAATATGACAGGGTGGGTGGACGGGTAGAAAAAGAAAAAAAGACCCAGCAAATTAAGCAGAATAGTATTCGGCTATTTCATGAAATGTCTTATACTGAACTAAAGCTAGATTGCTTACAATAACAATATTAAATTAATCATTCAATTTTTTTTATTAAATTACTATTTTACCATTTAATTTTTTTTTCTTTTTCTTTCTCCCTTTTTTTTATTTTTTTTTTATTTTTTTTTATTTTTTGTGGTTGTAAGATTTAGTTATCAAAAGTAGTATTATTTTATTTTAAGCCAAAAAATTTAAATTGGAAATTTCGTTAAAAGTAAAACATGTTTTTCTATTTTCAGTGAATAAATTAGCGATGGACACAATATCCTACGTGAACAAGCTTCAGCACTTTATGTCAGAGATAGCGTAACTCAGCGTCCCTTGGATTCATAGCATTTCTTCCGTTACTCTATAACTGGTCATTTAGTCCTATCTTTATATTTTTCATTTACCGTGTCTCTAGATAGAATATTTGAAAGTTGACTTTTTTCCGCTACTGTTTAATTAAGGAGCAGAAGATCATAATTTGATGACTTATTTTAGAAACAGTTGCCTTTTAAAAACCTCGGTGTTTTGTAAACATTTGAAAATAAGCAACAACTTTTTTATATTAAATGAAACACAATTTTCTTTTAAGTATAAGTTGTTATAATTTAAAAGACCTCAAATGTTTATTGTATTCTAGCTATCCTTTTACACTGAGAAAAAAATAAGCATTGAAATATTAAGAAATTTAATCAACAAGTTTGAGATAACTAATTGATTAGTTTTTCTTAGTTTCTAGTCTATTTTTACGTAATAATATTGAATGTACATGTGTTTTGACTTAACATCATGTAATAAATGTTAACGAAATTATTTTCTTAGGAGAAAAAACAATGATATATAGTATTTGATATGAGATAGTTATGACGACAAATTATATGTTTATTTTTATTTTTAAAAGTAATGTATTTTTTTAGTTAAATGTTGATTTCAAATTAACTAGAAAGTCAAATATTGAAAATAAAATGTAATTTATATAAACGTTCTGTAAGTAGGCATTCGATCAGAATTTAATGTTTTGATACCGGTTCCTAATATTTTAATGTTTAACTTGATTTACTTTACAAAACATAATACTCAGTTTTCTTGAATAAAAGACTGTTTCAGTAAAGCAATCAACTAATAGCCAACTTAATATACTATGTTAATTTTTGTGTAGATTTAGTTCATTTTTCATTTTTTTTATGGTAAATGGGAAAATTTTGTTCCAATTTTTAAGTCCAGAATGCAATTTTAATAACCTAAAAACTGAAATAGTTTAAATAAAGAACAAAGTTTGGTTTTTGGTTTTACTACTTTTTTTTATTTTATTTTGTGGGAATTTGTTTGTTTGTTGTTTGTTTGGTATTTTGTAAGATATTTGGAAACAAAAACTAGTCAACAAGACAACTGCCATTCTAAGCCTAGTAATTTTGATTATTCTTATGTGATATGGTGTCGCCTGTATAAACATAAAAAGCAAGGATGTATCAATATAGTAACAACATTTAACCTTTTATTTTGCTTATAAATAAAATAATTATTTCAATTAATTAATTAAAATATAAGTATACTAAACATGCTTCATAAGTTAGTTTAGATATTTGAAAAAAAACATTTGCCTAAAATCGTACTCTTTACATAAAGCTGTCTAACACCTAAACCAATACAAAACACTATTAGTAATTGAATGCCAAAACTATTAACGTAAAATTAATATTTTAATCTTAAATAATCAAAAGATTTCCATATTATCCCTTATCTGATTTAAGAAATCAAAAGTGTTGGTGTGGACGAATGGTATAGCTAAAGACTTTTAACTATAAAGTCTCAAGTTCGGCTCAAGTCTATAGGACGTCCTAGAGTCTCAGATTGATACCTAAAACACATTAGGGAAACAATCAATCATCGTACTTTTCATGTTTTTTTTTTACTTTCTCGTATATACGAAGTATATACATTTAAGTAAAAGATCTAATTCTCTGCCTTCTGTCAACTTTTGAGTAATTTCCGTTGACCGGAAGTAGTAATTTTCGCTATTTCCGATTTCTCAAAAAACGCATGTGAATTTATAAAGTACTAATAATATTCCGCACTATTATGCACATTTTATTTGGTGTGCACTTGGTGTGCAATTCTTTTTTCAACGAGATTTTATTTTATTTTAAAAAGTTTATGTATTTAACCCTTAAATGGATACCGCTACAGATCTGCAACATACCAGTTACCTTCCCATAAAGTATTAGCCTAAACATGTTTGATTCTGTGCATCGCGTTGTTTGACTTCTACAATCTTAACCTACAGCTTGCGCATGTCTAAGTGACCTAGATTTGTTTTACCGCCTAGCCGATCTCAAATGTGTGCATGGTCACAAGATTTTTTTATCTCAGCATTTTTGGTTGGCGTTTCAAAGTTCATTAAAGTCGAATAAACTGGTTTTGGAATTTTTTACTTTATACATTAGCATTGATGATTATATAGTTCCTTGTTTTTCTTCTAGTTTCAGCTTAATCATTAAGAAATCAAAGGTGAATCAATGTGAAGAATAATATGAAGTAGATGCTCTTGGTGATCCAGAGTATCTTCCTGGATCTCCTGGACCAGTGTGGACCCTGGATCTCCAGGACCAGTGTGTACCCTGGATCTGCTGGACCAGTGTGGACCCTAGATATCCTGGACCAGTTTGGACCCTGGATCTCCAGGACCAGTGTGTACCCTGGATCTCCAGGACCAGTGTGGACCCTGGATCTCCAGAACCAATGCGGACCCTCGATCTCCTGGACCAGTGTGGACACTAAGTCTCGTGGAATAGTGCAATGACTGGTACAAATTCACATCAAGCTCAAACAGTTTGCCACAAGTACAACATATATCTTTGTTGTAACAAGATCAACAACTGTCTTTAAAAGTATCACCTTACTACATAATGTTGCAGACATTCAACAATTCGATTTTTAATTAAAGAACATGTATAAACTAAAAATATTTTTTTACTTTACTGTACTCTTCATACACCCATCAAAACAATATAAAAATATTTTTTTTCATTTTTAAAAAGTCATGCATTTAAGGGTTAAAATGGATTAAAAAGTGTCATGTATATATCCCGAGTTGCCATCCCCTGTTGTTTTATATAAGAACATTTGAGAAAGTTTATGGGAGATCACTCCCGGTTTATTTTAGAAACGTAATAAATTTCTTACTTCTTACAATGAAAAAAAAATAGTTCAATAAACGAAATTTAAATGTTTAGGACTTTTAATTCCGAAGCTTTGCAGAACAGTAAGAATAGCCTGTCAAATTTGAAGCGCAGCTTATATAATTGATGCAAAATATCCTTGGTTTTTTTTTTACAATCAGACCTTAATTAATGGCATGACAACTGTGCCGTCGAAGAGAAGGTTGTTGATGTATGATACCCAGTCTACTGGTGTTTCTTTCTTTCCAAGACTTTGAACTGCTGGAAGTACAGCAGTACCAACCTGGAGAATGGTGCTGAGGATTGAAGCAAAGTCTTCTTGTGTTTCTTTCTTTACCAGAGGTAAAATGACTGTACTAACTGATTGGCCGATTTGAAGAATTGTGTTGAGAATCGAAGCGAAATCTTCTTGGGTTTCTTTCTTTCCAAGACTTTGAACTACTGGAAGTACAGCAGTACCAACCTGGAGAATGGTGCTGAGGATTGAGGCTAAGTCTTCTAGTGCTTCTTTCTTTCCCAGAGGTAAAATGACTGTACTAACTGATTGGCCGATTTGAAGAATTGTGTTGAGAATCGAAGCGAAATCTTCTTGGGTTTCTTTCTTTCCAAGACTTTGAACTACTGGAAGTACAGCAGTACCAACCTGGAGAATGGTGCTGAGGATTGAGGCTAAGTCTTCTAGTGCTTCTTTCTTTCCAAGAGGTAAAATGACTGTACTAACTGATTGGCCGATTTGAAGAATTGTGTTGAGAATCGAAGCGAAATCTTCTTGGGTTTCTTTTTTTCCAAGACCTTGAACTACGGGAAGGAGGTATTGATCACACTGAGATTTGGTGGCGTTGTATAGAATAGAAGCGAAATCTTCTTGGGTTCCTCTCTTACCTAGACCTGGAATTACCGGAACCACAGCTTGATAGCATTGAAATATGGTGGGTTGGTATAAAATTGAATCAATATCTTGTTGTGCTTCTTTTTTTCCAAGAGATGTAATGACAGGAAGGGCAGCTTGGCCGATTTGAAGGATGGTATTGAGGATAGAAGCGAAATCCTGTTCAGCTTCCCTGATACCAAGACCTTGAACTACTGGAACAATAGCTTGGCCAACCTGGAGAATGGTGTTGAGGATTGAAGCAAAGTCTTCTTGGGTTCCTCTGATACCCAGACCTTGTACTACTTGTACAACAGCCTGTCCGATTTGAAGAATCGTTGACAGTATTGAAGCAAGATCATCTTGAGTTGCTCTAATACCATTACTTTGCAATACTGGTAGAATGGCCTGTCCAATTTGCAGTGCTGTGCCAATAATTAAGGCAATATCTTCTTCTGTTTGTACACCTGGTATAAGGGCAGCTTGTTCTCTGATGGTTACAGTAATGGTGGCTCCCCAGTCTTCCGATGAGACCTAAATAAATCAGATTGTACTATTTTTATTCATCTAATAAATTTTATATAGTTGGTTCCAAATGTGCCTTTATGGACTTTTACTGAGCAAAAAAAATCTATTTTAACTTACATCTTTTATATATGTATATATATATATATATATATATATATATATATATAGGCCTATATATAATATTTATATGTATTATGTCTATATGTATATACATCTATTTGAGGCCTAGATAATTCTTACTTCTCGCCTGTTGGCTGGAAGTGCTGAGATTGACCCCACAAGGAGCAGCAGGAATACAGATGGCGCCATCATTTTGCGTATGTTGAACTGGAAGGAAAAGATAAAATGAAATTTAAAAAATTAAAAAAAAACACGATTTTCTAATAAAAGACATGTTTAATCGTGACTATATACATATAGTAATATGCTCAAAGTGTGTTAATATATATTGTATTATCTTTTGCAAATCAAGAACGAAATTTACACTACACGTTTTTCAACAAAAATTTAAAATGATAAATTATTTAGATTTTGGTTAACTTATGAAATGTTACTGACCGTGTGTAACTTGAAATATTCTTTTTTTAATTTAATAAATAATAAAAACAATTTGAATACGGATTTATGAACGCTCAGTGGCACAATGAGGTAAAAATAAATTTCAAATCTGTACAAAAAATTAAAAACGTTATGCGTATTTTAACGATTTACATGTTGAAATTCTAAAAAAAGAACGACACAAATAGCTGGAATAGACGATTTTTAAATTAAAATCAATGACTATACTTTTAAAAAGAATTTATTAAGTATATTATACATATTAAATCTTTTTATAAAGTTTTTCTCGTTTGGTAGCAAAAACCATTAAAAAACGCAAATTGAGTTTTTACAAACTCGCGATTTGTATATAAAAAATTTTAGATAAAAGAAGGCACAAAAAAACCTAATTTGCATTTTGCTGAATACCTTACAAGCGTACACATTTTAAGTAGTATATATAGTTAAACAGCAGCTATCTTATTCGAAATTTGGAAAATCTCACTTTTAAATAATATCTAACATGTTAAGGAATATAGACATTGGTTATCTTAGAAATAACACGGTACATATTGAAAAAATAAAATAAAAATGTTGAAAGTGTTGTTAGTCAAAAAACGGGGTTTTAAACTAATTATTTTTTAATCTACATATTTTAGTGAGTATTTTTTTCTAGTAAAATGATTCACATATTCAAAAGCAATGCAATCGCATTGGTTGAAAAAATTGGATTTTACTAACTGTAATACTTTGTTGTAAGATTAAGCTCAAGAGTTAAACAGCGTAATTAACATCAGTTAAAAAATAGATAAACACATTCACCTAAGTTTCAAATAAGTATTTTGAAAGTGTTCTGTACCGTGGAAGCAGTAGTTCGTCTTAATCTCTCTATATTATATACACAAACACTTTCAGATAATCGTGATTGTTTTTTCATGCAAAATGAAAAATATACGTACTCGGCCCCGAAAGAATCGTGTGGTGTCGATCTATATTTTCTCCTATTTTTTGGATTCTCTTTTGCTTAAAACAATGCATGACAAATGATAGCGTAATTGATATTGACACAGAAGGTTTATTGTATACATTTTGGATATGAATACAATTGATTACAAATGTGAAAACCATTATATTTGTCTATCCCTATAAAAAAATATATACATACGT